TTATATGCTATGCAGATGATGCAAAAAGACACATGATCTTAGGGGTAAAAATTAGGGTATGACAGATTCTATTTATTTATTTACTATTGTTGCTCGTGTTGTTGTTCTTGTTGTTTCTCTTAGTGTTCTTGTTGTTATTCTTATTTTTGTTCTTGTTATTGTTATTGTCGTTGTTATTGTTATTGTCGTTGTTATTGTTATTGTTGTTCTTGTTATTGTTCTTGTTGTTACTCTTGTTGTTCTTCTTGTTATTCTTATTTTTGTTCTTGTTGTTTTTGTAGTTCTTGTTATTGTCATTGTTGTTATTGTTCTTATTGTTCTTGTTGTTCTTGTTGTTGCTCTTGTTGTTCTTGTTATTATTCTTATTTTTGTTCTTGTTGTTGTTATTGTTTTTATTGTTCTTGTTATTGTTCTCGTTGTTCTTGTTGTTCTTGTTGTTGTTTTTGTTGTTCTTGGTGTTCTTGTTGTTATTGTTATTGTTCTTATTTTTCTTGTTATTATTCTTATTATTTTTGTTAATCTTGTTGTTCTTGATGTTGTTGTGTTAAAATATTTAATATTATATATTGTGATAAAAGTTATAAATGTAGTTCGGCAAAACATGTGGCAAAAAAATATTGACGGACCTTTCACAACGGATATTTAAAACAATTGTGATTATAGATAATGCGTTTTTTCAATTTTATATAACGTTCATAAGAATGTCATTGTAAGTAACACATATACAATCACTACATAATAACGATCCGTCCTGTGTGATAATATATATTTTTTAACTGTTGTTGTATGTGTTTTTTATAGTAGTTAACATCATCTACAACTTTACAATTAAGTGAATTTAAATAGAAGTGATAGAAACATATACTAATTGAAACTCAATAGAGGAAGACTTACCTTAATTGACATTGAGAAAGAGAGGACTTGTTCTGTCGCCATTATATAACCTAAATTCGAAAATGAAAATATATTATTCATAGTCCAAAATACATACTCAGTAAAAAATCTCAAATAAACAAAAAAATCAAATTCAAAATTGAGCTTCGAATATAAAAAATCAACTTTCGAGGTACCATAAAAAGAGTAAAAAATGTACTTCTGTAGCAAGTCTCCTTCCAGGTGATTAGTCATAGCATGCAAGTCTACATGTCACATGACACGTAAAAGACTTTTTTTGATTAGTTTATTATTTTATTTGTTTTAAATTATAAGAAGTTTTCAATCTTTTACGTAAATTAAAAATATAATTATTATTATATAAGAAAGCAAAATTATTAATTTAAGTGAAATTAAATTTGTTTTATTTATGAAATTTTACGGTAAATAATATTTAACTTATTTTTATTTTCTTAAATACCTTTAAAATTTATATACAAAAACTTGTGTTGATGGAGAACTCTATCTTTTTATTCCTCTTAGAATTCAAAATATCTTGTCAAATATATTATTATTATTATTATTATTATTATTATTATTATTATTATTATTATTATTATTATTATTATTATTATTATTATTATTATTATTATTATTATTATTATTATTATTATTATTATTATTATTATTATTATTTTTAAATTTAATAAATATCTTGACTTCAGTAATCCATAATCTAAAGAAAAACTTAATAATAATTAATATTACAAAATTTAAAAATAAATTTCAATATAAATTTTACAAGATAAACACTCTAAAGAAATCCAACCAAGTTATATCCAACGTGGTCTCATTTACTAGAATAGATAAATCGTATTTAATATATTAGCATTTATATATTCAATTTAAAGCTTACTGATTTTTTTGAACAAATACTACAATTCTTATTATTTATTGTGTTTTTCAATCAAAGGTTGATAAAAGTCAAACAATTTCATTTTTTTTAATTCAACAACCAAAGTCTTATAAAATTTAATTAAAATTTATTTGGAAATCAGGTGATTTTAATAATTTTTATGTCGTACCTATTCAATTTTAAAATGATTTATCTAATATAAATGAAATTATAAATTTTTAAAAAATAATTATACTTCATTTTTTATTATAATCAAATTTTAATTTTTTATATTTATTGAATATTATTGATGCACTTTCTATTGTAATAATATTCTTAGGATGTCAGTGTACATCCGGAAATTTTCAGCTTAGCTGAAATGTCTATTTTTAGTGTCGGTTGAGGTGGTCGTGTAGGAGCCCGAGGAAATACATAGATCGGCCCCTGATAGATGTCTGATGGTCGTGCTAAGAGGTAGACTAAGGGTTGCATGGAGGTTAAGAAGTTGATGTTTGAACTGTTACAACTCATGATTAGTAGTCATTAGTGATACGGCGTACGTTACCTTGAGCATGAATGCAAAGTTATGACTCATTATAGAAGGAATCAAAGGGTTGATGGAAAGATTATATAAGAGGTTCCAAAGAGAATATTAGAGGAGAAGACACTGATATAGAGAAGAACCTGAAAGATCATAAAAATGATGATCATTCCTCGTTTTGGAACAAACCTCTCAAACACCCAACTCCTACTGCGTTTGTGGTTTCACCTATTTCGCCTTAAAGAGATTATCCAAAATAAATTATTATGAACAAATAGAACTCATTCATCTAAGATTTCATAATTTATAAAGTTTAAAGACCATTATAATAATAAGCTTATATACTCGGGGAGCAATATAAAACACAAGGGAGCAATCATAAAAATGTCTAAAATTATTTTAATAAAATAATATCTATTTAATATAAATTTAAGGTTGTCATGGTGACAACACTGGAATGTATTCTTACTTTTAACTTTCATAATTCTCTTCATTTTCAAAAAAAAGTCAATAATATTAATAAAATTAATTTATCACAAATATATATATATATATATATATATATATATATATATATATATATATATATATATATATATATATATATATATATATATATATATATATATATATATATATATATATATATATATATATATATATATATATATATATAATTAATATTAATGTTATATTTTTGACACTGTAATGTATTCTTACTCTTAATTTTTATAATTCTCTTCCGTTTCAAAAAAAGGTCAAAAATGTTAATCATATTATTTTATCACAAATATATTAATTTTCATGACATTGTAGTGTAGCAGTGACCACTCTCATTATCTCTAAGAGTATCTTTAATGGAAATAAATTAAATGGGTAAATTAAGATATTTTTTGTGAGCCCAAAGTGTTTTGTAAGATTTAAAAAAAATTTATAGTTGATTTGAGTAGTTTTTATAAGAAACCAAAACTTGACTCCACTATTTTTAAATATCATGCTATTACTTTAATACTGTTGGAATATTTTATTAATTAAATAAATAATATTATAATATATTTCACATAATTAACGTTAACTATATAGATAATAAAAACTAAATTTTAGTTCACTTAAATGTTATGGCAGCTCCACTATAATACAAATTCTTTATTATTAACGTAAACTATACAAAATTTTGGTTTAACAACCCTGCACTAAAGTTGATTTTAGTAATGTACTTTTGTAGCAAATCTCTTTTGAGGTGATTAGTCATAGCATGCAAGTGTACATGTCATATGACACGTAAAAGACTTTTTTGATTAGTTTATTATTTTATTTATTTTAAATTATAAAATATTTTCAACCTTTTACGTAAATTAAAAAGTATAATTATTATTGTATGAGAAAGTAAAATTATTAATTTAAGTGAAATTAAATTTGTTTTATTTATTAAATTTTACGGTAAATAATATTTGATTTGTTTTTATCTCCTTAAATGCCTTTAAATTTTGTACACAAAAACTTGTGTTAACCGAGAACTCTATCTTTTTTCTCCTCTTAGAATTCAAAATATCTTGTCAAATATATTATTATTATTATTATTATTATTATTATTATTATTATTATTATTATTATTATTATTATTATTATTATTATTATTATTATTATTATTATTATTATTATTATTATTATTATTATTATTATTATTATTATTATTATTTTAAATTTAATAAATATCTTGACTTCAGTAATCCATAATTTAAAGAAAAACTTAATAATAATTAATATTACAAAATTTAAAAATAAATTTCAATATAAATGACTAAAATTATAAACTCCATAATTTAAAGAAAAACTTAATAATAATTATTATTATTATTTTTATGTCGTACCTATTCAATTTTAAAATGATTTATCTAATATAAATGAAATTATAAATTTTTAAAAAATAATTAAAATAATAAATATACTTCATTTTTTATTATAATCAAATTTTAATTTTTTAGATTTATTAAATATTATTGATGCACTTTCTATTGTAATAATATTCTTAGTTGTCAGTGTACATCCGGGAATTTTCAGCTTAGCTGAAATGTCTATTTTTAGTGTCGGTTGAGGTGGTCGTGTAGGAGTCTGAGGAAACACATAGATCGGCCCCTGATAGATGTCTGATGGTCGTGCTAAGAGGTAGACTAAGGGTCGCATGGAGGTTAAGAAGTTGATGTTTGAACTGTTACAACTCATGATTAGTAGTCATTAGTAATACGGCGTACGTTACCTTGAGCATTCATGTATGAAAAATGTAGGGATAGCTCGTTATGGCTCATTATAGAAGGAATCAAAGGGTTGAAGAAAAGATTATATAAGAGGTTCTAAAGAGAATATTAGAGGAGAAGACACTGATACAGAGAAGAACCTGGAAGATCATAAAAATGATGATCATTCCTCGTTTTGGAACAAACCTCTCAAACACCCAACTCCTATTGCATTTGTGGTTTCACCTATTTCGCCTTAAAGAGATTATAAAAAAAATTATTATGAACAAATAGAACTCATTCATCTAAGATTTCACAATATATAAAGCTTAAAGACCATTGTAATAAGTAAGCTTATACACTCAGGGAGCAATATAAAACACAAGGGAGCAATCATTAACTTTATTTATTAAAATTTTATAAAGATTTTAAATAACTTTATTCTACATTACAATCATTAACATGACTTTCCACCTGGCCCACCATAAAGAAATGCTTGCTGTCTAAGGCTTCCTTCATAACCACGATATAACAAGTCATAACAACTTAAATTAGCATTTTTGTTTATCTTCATATTTATAGGATTTACATCAATTTCATTATATTCTGAATTAATAATTTTAACCCTTTCCACAAAATTTGAGTTTCTGAATTTTTCTTGTGGTAATCTTCCACTACCCATTGGAGGACTAACCATTCCAGTTGGAGCATAAGTTTCACCACCATATCTAATGATAGATGCTCCAGAACTTAAGTGAGGAAATAATTCTTTTGGCCAATATCCAAAACATTCATCCACAAGGCGTATACATAACCACCAATTACCCGTTAATTTATCCTACAAATATTTAAGCAATTAAAAGATAATAAAATATACATTATGATATATGTGTAGATATATTTTTTTCAAATGAAAATTACCTGTTTGATTTTGATAACAAGAATCTGTTTGTTTAATGTTCCGATGATAGAAACAGGTGATATGACCGTTCCAAGATAAGGATCACTATAGACTTGCACGAAACCAGGACAACGAATATCGTAACATTCAGATCCATTTGCCTGCATATTTGTATCAAATTGAGCAAAATAAAATTAAAATTATTTTTGTCTAATAGTATAATAGAATTATTATTAAGAATTTTAAGAAATTATTAAAATATTAAATTTATATTAATACCGTCCACCGTGCTGTTAGGTAAAGTTGACTATCTCCATATAAAGATGGTATAACCTTGTATATTAAAAATAGTTTAATTGACACATAAAAAATAAACCATGAATACAAATTTGAAATTAAAATAAATTTGGTTTTAGAAAATAACTTACCCCACCACCTAAAAATATTCTATTTAGATTAGATGGTGGACCACTCTCAACCCAAATTCCAGATAAACTACGCTGCTTTCCATTAAGTTGTAAGTTATATGCACCAATAGATGCATGTGCGCCATGAAATGTCATAGTTTGAGTTGTATCGAGAGTAACCCACTAGAGAATAATAACAAATACAATAGTTAGATTATACAATATTTCAATATCAAAATTTAAATGTATAAATGTTCTTATTACAACTTCTATTAATCTTTAATTTAATGATATATATTAAATGTATATTTTACACACAAGACAATGCATAAATATTTTTAAAATTAAAAATAGTGGATCTTTTTGCATATAATGCAAAAATTCATGTATGATATTATTATTAGGGGTGACAAAATGGATGGATTTGATAGATATGAATTGAATTGTTAATGGATGGATTAAAATAATTCATTAGTTCATTAACAATCCACTAAAATTTTCTTAAAATTATCCAATCCAATCCATCCATTAAGAATAAAATTCATCTAATTCATCCATTAACATATTTTTAATGGATAGATATCCATCCATCCAACTTTTTTTTTATTTCGTAAAAATAAATATTTTTTTATTTTTAAAAAATTGATTTTATTTTATTTTTAAAAAATTTATTTTTTGTATTTAAAAAAATATATTTTTTAATATATTTATTAAAAAATTGAATTTTTTGTATTTTAAAAAAAATTGATATTTTAATTTTTTGAAAAATATCGATTTTTTTTCCAAAAAAAAATGTCGGTTTTTTTTCGAGAAAAAATTTTATTTTTTTTTCGAAAAACAAATCAGTTTTTTATTCTGAAAAAGAAAAATTGATTTTTTTCGAAAAAAAAAGTCGGTTTGTTTTTCGAGAAAAAATTTTATTTTTTTTTCGAAAAACAAATCAGTTTTTTATTCTGAAAAAAAAGACCGATTTTTTTCGAAAAAAAATCAGATTTTTTTCAAAAAAAATTAAACTTTTTTTTTGCAGAAAAAAAATCATATAATTTATAATCTTAAACTTAATGATATCATTAGGATGGTCCACTTACATGATAGTCTGCTGAATTTGGTTGAAAACCTTCAATTTGTTGTCTTTTTGTTTGCTTGTAAAAAGGAACTTTTCCTATTGGACATTTTCCGATGATTTTACCATCATAAGATGGCTTTTTTTGCACAATATTTCTTGAAAAAGTTGGATAAAGCTATTTGGCAATAAAATGGAAACAAAACAAAGATTTATATTTCAAATTCTGAATAATAAAATGTATGATAATCAAATAATTTAACTAAATTATATATACCTGAATTTTGTGATTTTTTAATAAAGGATGATTTAGAGAAGGTTGCTTGTAGATATCAATACAATCAAAATCAATATCTACATGATGCTGGATTTGGTACAAAAAATTACAATCAAATAAAACATGTGTAAAACAAATTATAACATAATCAAAATAAATAATAAACAATACCATCATGTTATGTGTCTCATTTAATAGAGCTTCAATTCTTGCATCAACATTGCTACATGCTATGCAAAAGCTAAGAACTAGAACCAGAAAAAATATCATAACTTTGTAGGGTTTAGTTTTAAATGATTTTTATGTAATACTTGTTCGACTGTTTATACGAATTTATACTAATACAAACACATACTTTCCATATAAAATTGAAACATATAATTTTGACTTTAAAAATTAAAACTAAAATGAAAATAAATTCAAATAAATGATTTAAAAATTCAATTAATTAATTCAATATATATTATAACCATTATTTATTAGTGACTTTAAATAATAAATTTGTTAATAAAAAAAGACATTACTCGATTTATTTTTTATTATAAGTCGTTTTAAAAATATAATTTGTACTACAATATAAATCACCAAAGAATAATTAATGTTATTTTACTATTATATCCTTAAAATTTTATTACCAATTCTTTTTAGTTATATAAGTTTATTTTCTTGTATCATTAATGAAAAACAATTATATAAAAATATTTATAATTTTTTATTTTTATATAAAAATAATTACTTTTCTCAATGCATGTGAAAAATAAAAAACAATTTATAATAAAAAAATGGAGGTTTTATTTATTTATGATCTTTAAGACGTTTGTGCTTTGAGAGGCTGGTGAGTTTAATAATATAGATTTTGTATCCATTAAATTTTAAAATTAATTTTTTAATACAAATAAAATTATAAATTTTGGAAAAATAACTTTTAAATTTATTTAATAACTAATGTATTTAGTTGATATATAGATCAGATACATCAATTATTTAATTAGTATAAAAATTTAAAGTTTACTTAAAATAAAAAATGAAAAAATGGAGAATGGAAAAAGTATATCTTTATTTATTTTTTGATTGACTCGATATTTGTTTTAGTGTGATTAAATGTTTATAAAAGTCAAGCAGTTTCATATTTTTTTTTGAGTAACACTAATTTATGTCATAGGGGAGGAAATTAAAAATTAAATGAAAAAATATCATTTTCAAAATTATGCATTATTTTTAATAAAAGTATATAATTAATTGTTTGATTGTTTTTTTCAATACAAACTTTTTATAAATAGATTTTTTAATTTGTGTCTCTAGAACCCAAGTTATTATTACCCAATTTTTTTAAGATTAAGTGTTTTTAAATTTTATGAAACATATTTATAATTTATTTCACATTTTAATAATTTTAATAATTTATATATAAGTTAAATTATAAAATTTTAAAAATAATTAAAATAATAAATATATTTCATCTATCTCTTGTAATAATTAAATTTTAACTTTATATTCATTGAATAACTAATATATATAATAATCAGATATATGTATTATTCAATGATTCTAGAGGCTTAAAATTTTCTTAAAATAAGAAATGCAGGAGTATCAATTTTTTTTGTTAACTTTATATATATATATATTCAACATCTTAAGTGTTTTCACATTTATTCAAAAGTTATTTTTCAATTATGTGATTTTTATAATTTTTATGTTGTACCGTTTAAATTTTAAAATTATACATCTAATATAAGTGAAATTATTACTTTTTAAAAAGAGTTAAATAAATTTTTGACCCTTTTAAATATTTTAAATTTTGTTTTTAGTTTTTAGAAAAATTTCCTTTAAGCAATTGATAGACCTAAAATATACTGTTTATTTGGCTTGATTTGCGCACGTTATTTAGGATTTTATTTCCGTTTTCTTGTATTATGTCTTTGTTTTGTTTCTTTTTCAGGTTTTTGTATTTTCAAAGCTACTCGAGAAGAAATGAAGAAAAACGAGCTAAAAGACCTACATTCTGAGGAATTGTACACATGGCTTCCACCATGCGGGCGCCATAGGGGATGCCACACATTGGATAGAAGACAACTGCTGACAATTGCCACATCTCCCACTCCTTTCCACCCTAGTTCATGTGGCGGGCGCCACAGGGAGGTGGTGGGCGCCACCTTCACAAACTCGTTTCCCTTCCAAAAGGAGTTAGGGGCATTCTTGTCCTTACCTGTACTTTCCTACCACTATAAATAGAGGATTATATCTCATTTCTAATCATCCAAGCTTAGTTACAGAACTCAAGCCATAAATTTCACCTATTGTAAAGTGATAAACTTCTCACATCGAGAGGTTATCACACTGTCTAATCGAGTCTGTAATCGGGTTTGAAGCACTTGGGTAGAAGTTAATCCTGCCGCCATTTTATTTCTGTCATTTACTTCCTGTTGTACCAAGATTTAAAGCCTCTCGTTTAGAGCAGGTTTTTGTTTATTTATCCGCTGTTATTTCCCGCGCCGCTTTTATTTCTCGCACCATTTATTTCCCGCACCCTTTACCGCACTTTATTTATTTACCCGCACTTTATTTACTCGCATTTGTTTACCATGTCTATTTACTTTACCATGTCCAGCTAAATCTTAAAGGCTAGGATGCAAGGATTATAGTTATAATAGTATTCCATACGGCTGTCGATATAATTACTTAGGGGTTATTTTAACTTTTAACACTTATTTTATGTACTTAAAATATGTTGGGTAAGATCAAAAGCCGTCTAACCTTTAGATAAATTTTGTTAGTTTTATCTGTTCCAAGGAAGCGAAAGCGCTTGGCTCAGTTAATTAGGAATCTTTAATGTTTAATAAACCCGATTTTAAAACTGTTTTCGGACGCGTTTATGGATTTAAAGTCCGGTTCGCAAGAACCTCTTTTTGTTAGAAATTCCAGGTCAAAATGCTTTTCAACTAAGTTAAGAAACTATATTTCTTAAAAATAGGTTTATTAATCCTAACGCAATACGCGCCTCTTTATAAGTGACAATAAGAGGGATCGATTAGGGATAAACTCGGTTCTGATTACGCGAAAGCGACAGTTCCCGTTAAATTAGTTCTTTTCATGAGTAGAAGACATTACCCCATAAGGCATCCTATCTGTACACATTTGGAATACTACGTAGCTATGTGAATTGCATCTATGCCTGTTGTTTTATTATTGAACTTATTTCCGCACTTTACTTTTATTTCGCACGTTATCAACCCTTTATTTGACTTGCCTTAGATAAGCGTCGTAACACTAGCGAACGATAGATTGACGTTTGGTCTCTGTGGGATCGATAATCTTTTATATTACTCTGATGCTATTCGTGCACTTGCGAATCCAACATCAAGTTTTTGGCGCCGTTGCCGGGGACCAATTACGTCAAAATTTCGTACCCTATTGTTACACCGTCTAGACTAAGGCTATACCCACCGGTCAATGCGAAGAACTCGCAGCACCGGTACCCTTATAAATCCTTTAGAGGAACTGAACATTACAGTCGCAGACGTATCTTATTTCGTAGAATTAAGAAAGCTATGGACGAAGACCGTAACCAAAGACCCCTTAAGGATTTCGCCCAACCATCTAATGACGAACCTAGTTCTAGTATTGTGAACCCTAATATTCCTGCTCACAATATCGAGATAAAACCTTCCCTATTACAATTAGTGCAACAAAACCAATTCACGGGACTCGCTACCGAGAACCCGAACCAACATTTAAAAACCTTTATTCAATTAGCTAACACTTTTAAAACCAATGGTGCTACCCTTGAGGCGATTCGGTTAAGATTATTTCCCTTTT